CTGGGCTTCAAGACACCCCAAGAGGCCACTGAGGGCACCTACGCTGACAAGAAATGCCTGTTCACTGGTAACATCAGATTGCTTCGTAAGTGAAGCGAAGCAGGAATGGGTTGAGGGAGGAGTTGAGCTGACACAGACATCTCCATTGGAGGGCAGATCCTGTCCGGTAGAGCAACCAAGACGAAGATGCAGAGACCACTGTCATCCACTAGGACTATCTCTACTACATCTGCAGGTACAGTTGCTTTGAGAAGAGCCACAAGAACATGTCCATGCACTTGTCCCCCTGCTTCAGGGACGTCTAGATCAGTGACGACATCATGGTGGGTGAATGCCAGCCTGAGCAAGGCAGGGCACTTCAAAGTGCTCAAGGTCACCAAGGCTGCCAAGACCAAGAAGCATTTCCAGAAGTTCTGAGACTGGATGCCTGCTCACTCCCCAAAATGAAATAACATTATTTTCCCATTTACAAAAAAAAGAAAAGAAAGAAAGAAAGGAAAAGAAGGAGGAAAGAAGGAAGGGAGGGAGGGAGGGAGGGAGGGAGGGAGGAAGGAAGGAAGGAAGGAAGGAAGGGTAAATTTCAAATAGTACCAGTGCCAGATCTGAGTTATGGAGTTTAGGCAAGTGTGGCGTTGACTACAGTTCAGTACAACTACTGATAATGACCAATTTCTCATTAGCTGGGATAAGCTGAAAGTGAATGAAAGTGCTTACTTAACTGGCTCAGAGTGACAGGATGATAGAAACCAATCTATGAGCTTCTGGTAAGGACAGCAAAGGGGTCGACTGTCCCATCTTCTTTCCCTTCCTAAATTGCATGACCTCACATTGTATTTGAGTGACCCTGACACAATCCACCTGTAAATGGATGTTCTTTTTTCTACTAATGGAATTCTGAACTTTTATACAGAACTACCTACTTACCTTATCTCCCATCAAAACATCTATTCCAGGATCACCTAATGACTAGCTCTGTATCTTAACTTTGGTCTGGAAATCGGGGTATCTTCTTTTTCAGAATTTCAGGAAACAATCCAGAAGTTCCCTTTTTAAGCTTCTTTCATCCCAGCTTCATTTTCTCTAACAATTACCCTTAGGCCTTATTCAGATTTCCCTTAGAGAAGTAAAATCCATTGTGCTTACTCACATTGATGACTTTATCAGTGTATCTAATGAGAGTAAGTTTTAAAACCAAAGACATACTCAGCTTGCTCAGAGCAATCTCACAGAAACTGTGGGGGCGGGGCAGGTAGCCTGCTAATGTATTCTCTTCTCCCCTCCTTTTAAGCAGCAAACTTCAGTTGCTCGAGAGGACATCCCACTTGGATGTCTTGTCCCCAGTCTACTTAAACGCAGTAAACATCACCTAAAAAGAACGCAACCTTTTTATTTCTGCTTGAGATACAAATGTTCCGTTAGGATGATGAGAATAAGCTGAGTACTAAAGACAATGGGTATCTCTTCTGTTTGTTCCTATGAACCCCAATGGAGTAAGAGGCTAAACAGGATCTGGACTGTTTCAGTCCACTAATGTCCAGCTTATCAAATCTACAGCCTGGTACTTCTTCAGCAGGACTGCCCCAATACGGCTGGATGTGATGAAAATTAAAGATGAAGATGGCAAAAACGGAGAATTCAACGTGTATATGCAGTTCAGTCTGATGTCTCACATGTTCTCTAAAATTCCATATTTGGTGAGAGCTGGGAGTGAGATCAGGGTGCTGGCCCGTTTTTGTTCCACTGCTCCTGATTCTGCTTTGTTGCCTTGGAGGGACAGCAGGCTTAGCTCGTCTGGGAGCTGATGGGGGCCATGCCCTTGGCAGCTTGCTTGGCTAACCACTTCTTATATCTTTTGGTCTTGGGCCTCTCAAAGTTCACCACAGACATAGGTACTCTCACAGTGTCAAGCCCATTTACCTGCACACAAAACAACAGGCATCCTCAGATCAGTCAGGCAGAAAAGAGCTAACACTACCCAATCCCAGCTTTTCACCCAGTCCAGAAAAGGAGAAAGTATGTGACATACTCACAGTCACCTCACACCAGTATTCGCCCCACCGTGTGATAGGCCCTTCTGGTAACTTTAATGTATGGGGGGCGACCACAACACCAAGCTGCAAAAAATCACAGCCAAAATGAACTCTGTTTTCATGACTACCACTGTAGGTAACCTCATAAAGAGGGTTCTAGAATTTCCTGTATAGGCATGAATAAAACTGGAGAGTCTACTCTGGCTGATCCCATGGGAGGGCACAGACCTTCACAGATGATAGTAGAGAAACTCAGTCCTAATTGCTCAGAAAGGGAGGTAGATTCACAAAGAGAAACAGGGCTTGAAACCAAAATCACTTAGCTACAAAAGTAACAATTCTCCAGCAAGTCACAAATCCCCAGGTTTTCCCTAGCTAGACAGGAAATAAATGGAAACCATCATCTCTTCCTATCAGTCTTTTTTTTTTTTTTTTTTTTTTTTTT